GCGGGACAAAACCACACCTGGGGGGGACAAAACCACACCTGGGGGGGACAAAAACACACCTGGGGAACACCTGAGGACACAAAACCACACCTGGGGGGACAAAAACACACCTGGGGAACATCTGGGGACACAAAACCACACCTGGGGGGACAAAAACACACCTGGGGAACATCTGTGGACACAAAACAACACCTGGGGGGACAAAAACACACCTGGGGGCACAAAAGCACACCTGGGGAACATCTGGGGACACAAAACCACACCTGGGGGGACAAAAACACACCTGGGGAACATCTGGGGACACAAAACCACACCTGGGGGGACAAAAACACACCTGGGGGCACAAAAGCACACCTGGGGAACATCTGGGGACGCAAAACCACACCTGGGGGGACAAAACCACACCTGGGGAACATCTGGGGACACACCTGAGGAGTTGAAAGTACACCTGGGGAGCCCCAAAACACACCTGAGCACACCTGGGCGGGGCTAACACACACCTGGGAGCCCCGAAGCGCCATCCCGTGTCCGTGCCTTGTCCCTCTGTCCATCCCATGTCTATCTGTCCATCCCACGTCCATGTGTCCATCCCACATCCACCTGCCCACCCAATGTCCATCCTGTGTCCACCTGTCTATCCTACATCTTTCTACCCATCCCATGTCCATCTGACCACCCAATGTCCACCTGTCCATCCCACATCCCTCTGTCCATCCTGTATCCATCTGTCCATCCCGTGTCCACCTGCCCACCCAATGTCCATCTGTCCATCCCACATCCCTCTGTCCATCCCGTGTCCATCTGACCACCCAATGTCCACCTGCCCACCCAATGTCCACCTGTCCATCCCGTGTCCACCTGTCCATCCTACATCCCTGTGTCCATCCCACATCCCTTTGTCCGTCCTGTGTCCATCTGTCCATCTCACATCTCTCTGCCCATGCTGTGTCTGTCTGTCCACCCTGTGTCCGTCCTATATCCACCTGCCCACCCAATGTCCATCCCGTGTCCATCTGTCCATCCCGTGTCCCTCTGACCACCCAGTGTCCCCCTGTCCATCCCACATTCCTCTGTCCATCCCACGTCCACCTGCCCACCCAATGTCCATCTGTCCATCCTGTGTCCACCCGCCCACCCAATGTCCATCTGTCCATCCCACATCCCTCTGTCCATCCCCTGTGTCCACCTGTCTATCCTACATCTTTCTACCCATCCCGTGTCCATCTGACCACCCAGTGTCCACCTGTCCATCCCACATCCCTCTGTCCATCCTGTGTCCATCTGTCCACCCTGTGTCCATCCTACATCCACCTGCCCACCCAATATCCACCCAATGTCCATCTGTCCATCCCACATCCCTCTGTCCATCCCACGTCCGTCTGACCACCCTGTGTCCACCTGCCCACCCAATGTCCATCCTGTGTCCATCTGACCACCCAATGTCCGTCTGTCCATCCCGCATCCTTCTGTCCATCCCACGTCCATCTGACCACCCTGCGTCCACCCTACATCCATTTGCCCACCCAATGTCCACCCGCCCACCCAATGTCCATCTGACCACCCGGTGTCCCCCCATCCTGTGTCCATCTGACTGCCCACCCAATGTCCACCTGCCCACCCCGTGTCCACCTGCCCACCCAATGTCCATCCCACGTCCATCTGTCCATCCCACGTCCATCTGACCACCCTGTGTCCATCCTACATCCACCTGCCCACCCAATGTCCACCCACCCACCAAATGTCCACCCGTCCACCCAATGTCCATCCTGTGTCCACCTGTCCATCCTACATCCTTCTGTCCATCTCGTGTCCATCTGACCACCCAATGTCCACCTGTCCATCCCACATCCCTCTGTCCATCCCGTGTCTATCTGACCACCCAATGTCCATCTGTCCATTCCACATCCCTCTGTCCATCCCACGTCCATCTGACCACCCTGTGTCCATCCTACATCCATTTGCCCACCCAACGTCCACCTGCCCACCCAATGTCCACCTGCCCACCCAATGTCCACTTGTCCATCCCACATCCCTCTGCCCACCCAATGTCCACCTGCCCACCCAATGTCCATCTGTCCATCCCACATCCCTCTGCCCATCCCACGTCCATCTGACCACCCTGTGTCCATCCTACATCTACCTGCCCACCCAATGTCCACTCAATGTCCACCTGTCCATCCCACAACCCTCTGTCCATCCTGTGTCCATGTGACCATCCTTTGTCCACCTGCCCACCCCGTGTCCACCTGCCCACCCAATGTCCATCCCGTGTCCATCTGTCCATCCCACGTCCATCTGACCACCCTGTGCCCGTCCTACGTCCACCTGCCCACCCAATGTCCACCTGTCCACCCAATGTCCATCCCGTGTCCACCTGTCCATCCTACATCCCTGTGTCCATCCCGTGTCCATCTGACCACCCCGTGTCCACCTGTCCATCCCACATTCATCTGTCCATCCCACGTCCATCTGACCGCCCTGTGTCCATGTGACCATCCTTTGTCCACCCGTCCACCCAACGTCCACCTGTCCGTGTGTCCGCAGCCGCCGCTGGAGAGCCTGGCCACGGTGGAGGAGACGGTGGTGCGGGACAAGGCGGTGGAGTCGCTGCGGGCCGTGTCCCACGACATCTGTCCATCCCACGTCCATCTGACCACCCTGTGCCCGTCCTACATCCACCTGCCCACCCAATGTCCACCCAATGTCCACCCAACGTCCGCCCGTCCGTGTGTCCGCAGCCGCCGCTGGAGAGCCTGGCCACGGTGGAGGAGACGGTGGTGCGGGACAAGGCGGTGGAGTCGCTGCGGGCCGTGTCCCACGAGCACTCCCCGCCGGACCTCGAGGGTCACTTCGTGCCGCTGGTCAAGCGGCTGGCCGGAGGGGATTGGTTCACGTCGCGCACCTCGGCCTGCGGCCTCTTCAGCGTCTGCTACCCGCGAGTGTCCAGCCCGGTCAAGGCCGAGCTGCGCCAGTGAGTGACCGCCGCCGTGGCGTGGGGTGGGGTCGGTGAGGTGACCAAGGGGTCATCAGTTTGTCCTTGGGGTCATTGGGGTGACCATGGGGTCATTGGGGTGACCACGGGGTTATTGAGGTGACCACAGGGTCATTGGGGGTGACCACGGGGTCATTGAGGTGACCATGGGGTCATTGGGGTGACCACGGGGTTCCCAGTCCATCCCTGGGGTCCCTGGGGTGACCAAGGGGTCATCAGTTTGTCCTTGGGGTCATTGGGGTGACCATGGGGTCATTGGGGTGGCCATGAGGTCATTGGGGTGACGACAGGGTCATTGGGGTGGGTGTGGGGTCACTGAGGTGACCACGGGGTCATTGAGGTGACCACAGGGTTATTGAGGTGACCACGGGGTCATTGGGGTGCCCACGGGGTTATTGGGGTCGCCATGGGGTCATTGAGGTGACACGGGGTCATTGGGGTGACCACGGGGTTACCAGTCCATCCCTGGGGTCACTGGGGTGACCAAAGGGTCATCAGTTCGTGCTTGGGGTCATTGAGGTGACCACGGGGTCATTGGGGTGGGTGTGGGGTCAGTGAGGTGACCACGGGGTCATTGGGGTGGGTGTGGGGTCAGTGAGGTGACCATGAGGTCATTGAGTTGACCACAGGGTCATTGAGGTGACCACGGGGTTATTGAGGTGACCACGGGGTTATTGAGGTGACCACGGGGTCATTGAGGTGACCATGGGGTCATTGGGGTGACCACGGGATCATTGGGGTGGGTGTGGGGTCAGTGTGGTGACCACAGGGTCATCAGTTCGTCCTTGGGGTCATTGAGGTGACCACAGGGTTACCAGACCATCTCTGGGGTCACTGGGGTGACCAAGGGGTCATCAGTTTGTGCTTGGGGTCATTGGGGTGACCACGGGGTCATTGGGGTGACCACGGGGTTATTGAGGTGGCCATGGGGTCATTGGGGTGACCACAGGGTCATTGGGGTGACCACGGGGTCATTGGGGTGACCACGGGGTTATTGGGGTGACCACAGGGTCATTGGGGTGGGTGTGGGGTCACTGAGGTGACACGGGGTCATTGGGGTGACCACAGGGTTACCAGTCCATCCCTGGGGTCACTGGGGTGACCAAAGGGTCATCAGTTCGTGCTTGGGGTCATTGAGGTGACCATGAGGTCATTGGGGTGACCACAGGGTTGTTGAGGTGACCATGAGGTCATTGGGGTGGCCACAAGGTTGTTGAGGTGACCACAGGGTCATTGAGGTGACCACGGGGTCATTGAGGTGACCACAGGGTTGTTGAGGTGACCACAGGGTCATTGAGGTGACCACGGGGTCATTGGGGTGACCACAGGGTCATTGAGGTGACCACAGGGTCATTGGGGTGGTTGTGGGGTCACTGAGGTGACCACGGGGTCATTGAGGTGACCACGGGGTCATTGGGGTGACCACGGGGTCATTGGGGTGGGTGTGGGGTCACTGAGGTGACCACGGGGTCATCAGTTTGTCCTGTGACCACAGGGTCATTGAGGTGACCACAGGGTCATTGGGGTGGTTGTGGGGTCACTGAGGTGACCACGGGGTCATTGAGGTGACCACGGGGTCATTGGGGTGACCACGGGGTCATTGGGGTGGGTGTGGGGTCACTGAGGTGACCACGGGGTCATTGAGGTGACCACGGGGTCATTGGGGTGACCACGGGGTTATTGAGGTGGCCATGGGGTCATTGAGGTGACACGGGGTCATTGGGGTGACCACGGGGTTA